TTGCACTAAAAGAACTTTTCTTCAAACAAAAATTTTACAGAAACCCCGGACACATTTGGCCCGGGGGTCATGGTGGTCCCTGGGGTCACCAAAGACACTGTGGAAGCAGATGATCAACAGGAATCTGTCCAAAGTTAATATTTGAATTAAAGCCTTTGATCACCAAAAACTAAATCAACAATTTGATTTGCTCTTGAAAATCATTTCACAGGTAAGTTTCCTATTTCACTAACACCTGAGAACGGAGTCCTGTGTTAGAGAACTGCCGTGCGTGGTAGTCAATTAGACGGTACCTACCACCACCACCACCACCACCATGGCTTTCAAAAGGGTTTTAAAAGCTATTTAAGTTGTGCAGCTCAAACCCTTTTAAAAAAAATATTAAGCGAAGAACAAGAAAACTAATATTTTAATACTTTATACCATTTTAGTACTTAAGAGAAAACATGAAAAGATTGAGTCAAAAAGTTGACATCAATCTTTGAAGATTTACATTATAATTGGTAGATTTCATGTAGATAGATTATTAATAACATAGGGCACTCTCATGGCCTGCACTCCCAACACAAACTGGTTCAAATCCACCGAGAAAAGACACACAGGAGTTGGATGGGCAATCTCCTCCCGTGGGATTTACTGCCTCGGAAAGCCTGCTGGAGAGTCAGCTATGAGCTGCTTCCGACTTGACAGCACCTAATAACAAATTAGTAACATTTGGTAGTTCCTTCAGCTTTTCAATATCTTGTAAGACGTGTTTTAGTAAGTAACAGATTTTAGAATTTAAATGTTTCAAACACTCTTGGTTAAGATGAAATAGGATGGCTGTACTAAATTCCTTAAAGAAAGGAAGTAGGAAGGAAGAAAATAAGCTAGCTATATGTCCTGTATAAACTACTAAAAATGTTTAAGTCAATGAATCCAGTACCAACACAAAGTATGTATATAGTATCAGTAAACGCTAAAATTGGTGGTTTCTAAGAATTCAGATCTCACCTAATCCAATTTACAGAAAATGGACAAGTAGTGCCCATGTTTAACAAAAATTCTATTTCAATACATGTTTTCTTCTCTACAACGATCTAGTCACCAGAACTGAAAGAAAAAAAAAACAACCTAAAAACTTTACTTACAGTTTTTAAAGCTGTAAAGCTTGGTAATAGGCATATTTTAAGATAGAAAACCTGGTTGCTTGGAATATCCAAATACTTGTATTAAAGCAAAATATCTGGCTAGAGTTGATTTTTGTGGTCACATTACATTTTAACCCATGGTATGAAAGAATTTTGTTCCATTCTACTTTAATTAAATCCTGTATTTCTTTTGTTAATTGTTTAAATGTCCCCAGAAGAATGTTAAGGTGAAATTCAGGATCAAAACTCATTACTTACCTGGCCCACAAAGTGTTTTCTTCTTACAGAGCTTCGACTATAAAGCTTAATAAGAAAAATAATTTCTTTTGAAGTCTGTATAAGTGGAAAAATCATAGTCTCTCCCCACTTTACTCGTCCATTGGAAGCCTTCAGTAAGCGTGTCTTCTTCTTAGAAATCAAATCGCCTGAGTTAAACATTGCCACCTTCACAAAAAAACCTTAAAAACAAGAAATTTTTACATATAAATGTTTTTTAAGACACCGTCTAAAGATACACAGTTATACTTAGTGTAAATTAACAGGACTTATCTCAAACCTTGCTTTACAGCTTGTGGTTAACACTTTGGTTTAGCTGTTGCAGTTAACTAATGAAACCTAAACATCAAGAAAGAGGTTTATGTTTTTTAATTGATTATGCAAAGGTATTTGTGTGAATCATAATAAATTATGGCTAACATTGAAAACTATGGGAATACAGAACATTTAATTGTGCTCATGTGAAACCTCTACATAGAACAAATAGCAGTTGCCCAAACAGAACAAGAGGAGACTGAACGGTTTAAAATCGAGAAAAGGGCGCAGCAGGGTTGGACCCTTTCTCCATGCCTATTCAATCAGTAGGCCAAGCAAATATTTTAAGAGGCTGGGCTACATGAAGAAAAATGTGACATTGGAATTGGAGGACGACCTGTCAACATTATATAGATGACACAACCTTCCTTGCAGGAAGTGAAGAAGACTTGAAGCACTGTGTAAGATCCGAGACTACAGCCTTCAATAGAGAAAACAAAAATCCTCACCTCTGCACCAATTGGCAACATCATGATAGGTAGGAAAAGGATTGGGGTTGGCGATGATTTCGTTTCATTTGGACTTAAAACCAACAGCCATAGTGGCAGCTATTAGAGTGTGTATTACAACAATGTGGGACAAGAGAGGCTTTGCAGAGTGGGTGAGGGAGGAGGGAGGGGGAAGGGGAAATGTGCAACAGTGAACAAATAAAAATGAGGGAAAAAAAAGAAATCAAAAGATTGTTGCATTAAGAAAGAGCTGCTGTCAACAACCTCTCTAAAGTGCTGTGGAGCAAGGATCTTTGAGCACTTAGTCCAAGCCATTGTCTTCTCAATCACTTCCTCTGCATCTGAAAGTTGGACAATGAATAAGGAAGACAGAAGAAGAATAAATCCATGCTTTTGAATTGTAGTGTTGGTAAAGAATAGAAAATATTTAATACTTTTTTGAAATATTTTTGTGAAAAGAACAAACAAGTCTATCTTGAAGGAAGTGAAACCAGAGTGCTTCTTAGAGGCAAGGATGGTGAAAATACTCTCACTTACTCTGCACACATTTTTGGGGTTTGTAGTTTTTTTTTTCTTCATTTTTTTAGTGATCTTCTCACTCTTTTCTTTTTTGTTTTTTCTTTTTTCCTCCCTCTCTCCTTTTCCTCCCTCCCTCCCTTCTCCCTCCCTCCCTCCCTCCCTTCCTTCCTTCCTTCCTGTTTTTATTAATTTTCATTAAAGTTTACAGAGACTTTAGCTTTCCTTCCATTCATTCATTGTTGCACTTACTCCCTGCCCAACCTCCACTCAGTTCTCTTCTCTTTGAAAAGTAAAAGAAAAACTCTTTCATTGTTATACAACCCCTCCCCCGCAAGTCCACTCCACTATGCAGCCTTCGTTCTGGACTCCTGTCATGACAATAATACCTAATACATATCCCTTTTAGACAGTTCTCTCCCTCATCTGTTTCAATGCAGTATACATTATTTATCCCTTCTTTCTCAGTCTCTGGACAAGTTTTTAACAGGGCCTTGGAGAGAGGCATGCTGGGAAAGGAAGAGGGTTGGTGACAGAGAAGATCCGGAATGGCAGGGTCTGATACAGTGAACACCACGATGGGCTTGAGGACGACAGAGACTGAGGCTGGTACAGGACAGGGCAGGGTTTCAGAGCTCTTGTTCACAGAGGATCACTCTGAGCTGTAGCCATCTCTAAGGTACCTAACCTGCGTAACAGAAACTGGGCCCAGATGGCCAGAGTATCAAAAGCCTTGTCCACATGGAGTAGGTCGGGGGTGAGTTGTTGTTGTGTGCCGTCAAGTCAGAACCAACTCATAACTGACCCTCAAGTGGGTTTTGAGAGGCAGTAAATTGCATGGGAGGAGACCGTTCAATCTTCTCCCAAGGAGCAGCTGGTGGAGTTGAACTGTGTGCTTTCGGGACTGAAGTGCAGCTTTTTACCACAAGGCAACCAGAATAAGTCATATCAGTGAAATCCATTCATGGGAGTTTTGTTGTAAATGTGTCCATTTTTGAGAGAGAGTTGTATGAAAGCCTCCCAGAATGATTCTGGACTCATCAATTTTTACTTCTAGCTTCATCATTATAGATGGAGAAGTTGTCAACGATTTCATTTTACTTAGATTCACAATCAACACCTGCTGTAGAAGCAGTCAAGAAAACAAAAGACCTCCTGCACTGGGGAATCTGCTGTTAATGACCTCTCAAAGGTGCGAAAGAGAGAGGATATAAATTTTAAGACGAAGGTGCACCTAATCCATGCCATGGTATTTTCAATTGCTTCTTATGCTTCTAAAAGTTGGACAATAAAGGAATCAATGCCTTCGACTCATGGTGCTGGAGAAGATCACTGAATAGCCACCCCATGGATTGCCAAAAGAGCAAACAAGTCTGTCACGGAGCAAGTGCAACCAGGATGCTCCTTAGAGTCAAGGACGGTGAAACATCATCGCAAATACTTTGGGCATGATGTCAGGAGAGGCTATTCCTTGGAAAAAGAGATCATGCTGGGAAAGGTGGGGGGCCAGAGAAAGAGGGAAGACTCCCAGCAAGATGTTCTGACACAGTGATTACAACAATAGACTTGGACGTAGCTAAAAACATGAGGATGACATGAGACAGGACAAGGTTCAGATCTTTGCTCACAGGGTCACTATGAGTTGTAGCTGATTCAGGGGAATTTAATAACAAATTCTAGTTTTGAGACACACAACAACATTTCTAGCTCTAACAATGTAAAATCTCTACTGTTAAATACCACACGTTCAAGACACAGCATCTTGAGACACATGCTTTTTCTAAAAAGTGGAGTGAAATATATGTAATAAAACATGTATCACTACCTCGAGTGTAACATGTACAATTGAGTGACAGTTGTTTCTCATGCTGTGCAATTATCACCATACCTGTTTCTCAGAGTTGTCACCCCTCACAGAAACTGAGTGTTCCTTAAGCATAACCCTGCCACATCTTCTCAT